CAGCAGACAGGAGGCCGGGACAGAAGGCCAGGATTGCTGAAGAGTCTGTCGCCTAGAAGATGACTAGAGAGCCTCGTCCTCCTGGCACTTCTACATATGCCCCACTTATGCGGGGCCGAGCACTGGGCTCACTGGGCCAAGGGTCTCGCAGCGTCTGCTCACAGGCCTTCCCTGCACACCCCCTGCCAGGGCCTAGCTTGGATTTTTCTCTGCCGCTCTGTCAGGAAACAGAGTCCCCAGCTCTGGACCCCAAGAGCTAGGACAAGGCTGCTTGTAAAAAAGAGAGTCTCTCCCGCAAGGCCCAGACCAGAGTGGGCCTGGCGCTCTCTGCCGCCCTCGCCCCCTCGAGAGCCACAGGCTGAGCTGAGCTGTTGGCTCTCACGGGTCCTCTAAAGCAGGGATGGGTCGGGAAGTGTGGCTCAGGGCTGGGGGCAGGACTCAGAGCTTCAGGGACTGGATATCGTCTTTGCCTTTATGGGGATCAGAAGCTCTTCCTCTGTTCCCCCTTCCCTGAGCCATGTTCAGTTTCAGTAGTGGTAAATGCCATCAGCAACGTACAGCGTGTGCACCCCGCGTGGTTCAGTTCTGAAGTGCAGCATCCACTCTAGTGAGTTTAAGAAGGAAGAGGAGCTGGCGCAGGGACACAGGTCTGCAGCCCGGACCACTCAGGAGGCAGAGGCAGGAGGATCACTTGGCCCAGGGTTTAGAGTCCCACCTAAAAAGATACCAAGACCCTATGTCTTTTTTTTTTTCCTTTTTTTCCTTTTTTTTTTAAAGGCTGGGCACAGTGGCTCATGCCTATAATCCCAGCACGTTGGGAGGCCAAGGTGGGTGGGTCACCTGAGGCTAGGAGTTCGAGACCAGCATGACCAACATGGTGAAACCCCATCTCTACTAAAAATACAGCTGGGTGTGTTGGCGCATGCCTGTAATCCTAGCTACTTGGGAGGCTGAGGCAGGAGAATCACTTGAACCCAGGAGGCAGGGTTTGCAGTGATCCGAGATCACACCATTGCACTCCAGCTTGGGCAATGAGAGTGAAACTCTGTCTCAAAAAAAAGAAGAAAGGTATCTAATAAACACCTTACTTACTAGAATCACTGAGGAGGCGGACAGAATAACCTAAGTTGACATTTCAGGAATGATCCCCAAGCCACACTTCAGAACTGTGCCACGCAGGAGGCTGCTGCCGCCTGGGGCCAGGACTCTGGCTTTGGACTTGGGGAACTGGCACTGGCTGCTGGCTCCAGATCCATGCTGCCCTGCTGTGGTCCACACCTGCCACATGAGAACCCAGAAGCGTAGTGACAGGGCTTGAGGATTCCTGCCCTGGGCCTCTTGGCAGCATAAACAACAGAAGCACAGCCCTTGCTCGAGCCCTGCCTTCACGTACCGGAGCATCCAATAGAAGGAGCCAGAATTGTTTTTGGAATCCTAGCTGCAAAGGAGTCAGGGAAGCATAACCGTTAGCTTTCCAGCCTCCGTAGCACAGCAGGGCGTCCCAAGAGGAGGCTGGATGTTCAGATCATAGAGTAGAAAGAAGGTGAGTCTGGGGGGAGCAGCCTCAGCCCCGGGGATTTAGGAGGAGGAGCCTGCAGAAGTGGTATCCCAAGCTGAACCGGGAGTGGGCGATAGCCAGACGAGAGTCTGATTTGTAAGTCCCAGGTCTTTGGCGCATAGAAATCAGCTGGAAAACTTGTCATGGTGCAGATGCGAGGCCCTGCCCTCAGAGACGGACTCAGTGGGGCTGGAGCAGAGCCCAGACTTGCTGCTGTCCCTGCTTTGTGGTTCTGATGAGATTTGCCAGCGTCTTTTACATACATTTTGTTCTCTTTGATCTTCAAGATAAACCTGGGAAGCAGCCCCATGAGGTTTTCTCATCTGGTTTTGGAGAAGATAAGGGTAAGGCTCAGGGAGGTTGAGTGACTTTCTCCCTATTACCTGACTTGCTGAAGGTGGACCTGCCCCACCACCCGCCAGCCCTTTCCACTGCCAGCTATCTTCTCAGTCATCCTGGTGAGAGCCCTTGGGTAGGGAGCTACTCTGTGCTGCTTATTCAGTACCATCAAGGAGAGAAAAGTAGGAAGGCAGTGCACGGGGCGCGAGCTGGGAAGCAGCTGCTCTGGGAGACCGGGGTCCCAGCGCTGGCCCTGCCTGCGGCTCACTCAGGTCTGGGGCGAGCCTTTTCACTTTTCTGAGCCTCTGTTGCGAACAGAGGTGGGACACATTTGCATATTTGCACATTTAAGCAGTGAGATCTCTCTTGCAAGGGAAGTGTTGTGTATCTACAAATAAGACGGAGCAAAGCAGACTTGCTGTGGTTGCTGCGAGGAGAGATCCAGTCCCCTCCCACAGGCACTTCAACAGAACCCAGCCTGAAAATCCGCATGATGGTTAAGCAGCAGGATATCCTTGCTGGCGCTCACGGGGCTCCAGGCCCCCAACAAAGGCAGATGACTTTACTTGAGCCTGCTCACATCATTGCAAACCTCATGACCTTCCTCTGTAGAGGAAGAGTGGGAGCGGCCTGTCTCTGGGAGTTCAGGGTGCCTGGATGGGGGGTGAGGGGTTGAGAAGCTGGTGGAA